GTCCAGTTCCACTTCCTCCACGCACTGCCTGGGCCGCACACCTACTGTGTGTGTCTTCCGGAAGCGTCCACCACTATCCCCTCTTTGGCCTTCGTGGTTTGCTGTTGTTGGGTGCCATGGAGTCAACTTAAATTCATAGTGGCCCCGAGTAGAGCTGTCCCATAGGGTTTCCTAGGTTGTAATATTTATAGGAGCAGATCGCCAGGTCTTTCTCCTGCTAAACCACTGGTGGCTTAGAACTGCCAACCTTTCTTTCCGTTAGCAACCAAGTGCTCAGCCATCCCTGCACCAGGGCTCCTTATCTTCAGCCTTTACTGGTGGTGAATGGGTTCTGTCCCTCTCCGTTGGATCTGTGGCCTGGGCCCTTGCACAGTAGGTATTGCTTGAATGCAAGGATGAAGCAGCCCAGGGAGGCAGGTCTCAGCTCCCGCTACAGGCCCCGGCGGGCACCCAGAGGAGAACAAAGGCCGCATTCAGGCGGGTGGGGGCGGGCGGGCTGTGGGCCGCCCTCGAGGGGCCCCTGGCACAAGCCACTGGCGTCCTGTCCCCGTGCCAGGGCCCTGGAGGGCACACCCAGGCCGCAGGGCTGGGCAGAGGTGGCGGCTAAGAGGGGCCCCCCTACAGTGTGCACCGCCCGGTGACTCAGCCCCAAGCAGGGCCTCCCTAGGGAAGACAATGGTGGCTTGTGGGTGCCGGTAGAGCCCTGAGGCAGGTGGAAGCCCCAGGGTGGGCCTCTCTGACCCTCAGTCTCCTCATCTGTACAATGGGTCTAATTACTTGGGTGCAAGCATATGACAGCCAAGCGTATGGCTGGAGAGAACCACATTCGGAACTAAAAGGGGGCACTGATGGCCCATTATCTTCCGGACCCACTCTGTCAGCGCCACGTCCCAATGCCCAGCACGCAGCCCGGCACACTGTCGGTGCTCAATCGTTGCATGGCCCGGGAATGGCTGGTTTCTCCTCATCGGTGGGTGCACTGGGGGCCATTCTGGGAACACGGGGTGTTGCGGCTCCCTGGGGCTTGGCCCACACAGGGTGAGGTTGGGGACCCCAGGAGGCCTCAGCCCCAGCCCGGCCTCCGAGATACCACAGGCTGCGGGGAGCCACAGTGGGCCACAGACACCCCAAGAGCCAAGGGGTCAGGGTGGGGCAACAGAAAAGGGCTGGGGGCAGAGGAGCCCTGGGTGGTATTGGGGCTGCTCACTCCAGAGACCCAGCTCCCCCACTGCGGATAGGCCTAGTGACGCAGGTGTGAGCCATATGCGCCTTTCTGTGCCCATCACTGGCCCTTCCATTTTCCTGATGGACGAACTGAGGCCCAGAGGTGGCAGGAATTTGCCCAAGTTCCCAGACCTGGAGACTCTCTGAGCTGGAAGGGGTCCAAGTGAGTGGCAGCCCAGCTCAGGCACAGAAGGAGGGGCTGGTGGCTTTTATAGGAACCCCCTCTGACCCAGCCTGTCCTGGGTTCTTCTCCACTGCCCCTCTAGGGATACCCCACTTTTCTTTCTTCCTGGGAGTGGGCCCTTGGCGTGGCGTGGCATTGAACTGTGATTCGGGGGCTCCACATGGAGGGGTGGGAAGAGCAAGAGCAAAGGTCTGGAAGGTTCTGGAACATCGAGGAGGCTGGTGTGACTGAAGTGGAATGGGTGAGGCCTCTTCCCGGCCTGGAAAGGAATGTGGATTTTCCTCTGGAGTCATGGGGAGCCGTGGAAGGTTTTGTTTTTCTCATTCGTTATTATTATTACGTTTCTGTAGGGTCTGTGGTCCTCAAGAGCTGAAGAGCCCCTTGCTGTAGGGGGAACTTCTGACACAACTGAGACGCAGAAGGCCCGCCGGCCACTTCTGCTCAAGCCCGGCCAGTCCTGTTCAAATCTGGCTGAGCGACCTCAGGCCCAAATTCCATTTTACAGATGAGGAAACTGAGACTCCAGCACGCAAAGACAACTAGCAAGTCAGAGGTACAGCCTGGGTTCACGTGGAGCTCTGTGAGCCCGAAGCAGGGCGACAGTCGGTTTTCCTCGCCCTTAAAATGGGTTTGATTCACCCTCTCCAGGCCTGGGATGCACGCTCGCAACACTCAGTACTCGGGGCTAGCCCTAGGAACTCAGATACGCCCGAAGGCGAATAGTACGCTCGGGCGGCCACGCAAACCTGAGAATAAAACCCCAAAGCCCATCCCCTCCCACCGCTTCTCGCGGCCTCTCGCACGGAGAGTCCCGCCCCTTTCGCCGCTGAGCAGCGCGGCCGGGGCGGGGCGGGGGCGCGGCCTCATCGCAAATGGCGGCTCGCTCCGCCCATCAGACCGCCGCGCCCTCCCATTGGCAGCCGCTGCTCGGCCTTTTCCTTGCATCTCACGGTCTTTCCCCGCTTCCGTCACGCGTGTTGAGTCCAGTCACTGTGCGCCTCCGCGCAGAAACATAGTCCCTGACCCCTCCCCATGTCACTGGCCACTAGACCTCCGAGGGCGCCCCTGGGCGTCCTTGCTACTGAGAAGGGGCTGCGCGGTGCTCGAACGGGCGCTCGGAAGGGCGAGAGACGGCCGCCGGGGTCCAAGCCTGCCGGGGCCCGCGCGGAGGGATTCGCTGCGGCGGCCGGGCGGG